CTTAAATGTCTACTTCATATAGAAATGACCGAAAAATAGGGGCTGAGGGTACAGCTCAATAGTAGAGAGCATGGATCACCGGGTTCAATGCCCAACACCACACATACACACACACACAAATAATTTTTTTTTAATATTTATGTTTTAGTTGTAGTTGGACTCAATATCTTTATTGATTTATTTTATGTAGTGCTGGGGATCAAACCCAGAGTCTCACAGGTGCTAGGCAAGCGCTCTACTGCTGAGCCACAACCCCAGCCCACAAAGAATTCTTAAATAAGACTTTTTTAACAACAAAATTAACAATGTTTACTGTTCATGCTCCCAAGTATATGATTAAGGCAGTCTTGCTGACCCTAGACTCTGTTATAGAAGGCATGAAGACACAGTGGATTGTTTTCTTACATAGTGTTCAAGTAAATCTCAAAAAAGTGAACAGTAATGGCATCTGTAAAAAGAAATACACTTGTTAAACAATATCTGAAACATTAGTCCTTATGAATTTTTTTGGCTACAAACGATAAAAATTGTGTACTGTAAATTTTATTACAATTTTTTTTAAAATTTTTTTAATAATTTTTTAATATTTATTTTTTAGTTTTCGGCGGACACAACATCTTTGTTTGTATGTGGTGCTGAGGATCGAACCCGGGCCGCACGCCCGCCAGGTGAGCGCGCTACCGCTTGAGCCACATCCCCAGCCCAATTACAATTTTTCTTAAAGGGAGTTTATGTAAACATGCAAATAATAAGTGAAAATCAATTTTTCCTGTTTTACAATAATCTGTAAAATTTAAAATCAAGAAGTCATATTTAGCTGGGTGCAGTGGTAAACACTTGTAATCCCAGCAACTCGAGAGGCTGGGCCAGGAATATCACAAGTTCAAAGCCAATCTGGGCAACTTAATAAGACCCTGTCTGAAAAAAATTTTTTTTAAAAAGGATGAGGGTGTAGCTCAGTATCAGAGAGCCCCTGAGTTCAATCCCCAGTTCCTCACAAAGTAAGTAATATTTGATTTTCACATCATTTTACAGAAGACTCATATTATACAGACTTAAAATCTGCTGATGGTCTGAGGCGATAGCCCAGTGTGGTAGAGCCCTTGCTTGTATGCAGGAGGCACTGGGTTCAATCCCCAGTACTGCAAAAACGAAGCAAATAAAAACCTACTAATAATCAAATAAGAAAAAGATAATAAATTACTATTTGTAAGAAAACACACTATGGGCTGGGGTTGTGGCTCAGTGGTAGAGCACTTGCCTAGCATGTGTGAGGCCCTGGGTTTGATCCTCAGCACCACATAAAAATAAATAAATAAAATAAAGGTATTTTGTCTATCTATAATTAAAAAAAAAAAAAAAAAAACAAGAACAAAACACTAGAGCAAGGCACTGTATGCCTCTAATCCCAGTGATGGAGGAGCCTGAGGCAAGTTTGAGGCCAGTCTTACAATTTAGCATGATCCTCAGCATGTGAGATCCTGTGTCTTTGTTTTTGACATATAAAACATATAAAAAGAACTTGGGCCAAGCGTGTGGTGGCAAACACCAGTAATCCCAGTGGCTCGGGAAGCTGAGATAGGAGGATTGTGAGTTCAAAGCCAGCTTCAGTAACAGTGAAGTGCTAAGCAATGCAGTGAGACCCTGTTTCTAAACACAATATTTAAATTTAGGGCTCATAGATTCAATTCCCAGTACCAGAAACAAATAAAAAACCACATACCTAAAAGAAAAAAAAACTAAGTTCACCTCAATCACATTCATAATACAAATTACTTGAATTCATATTCTGGCTTTACTAATTATGAACATGAAACTCCCTATGCCTCAGTTTCCCCAACTACAACACTGAAGTCCCAAGGTGATTGTGAGGATTTAGAGAATTAAGCTTAGAACTATGCCTGACACATGGCAAACATTCAGCAAATATTATGTTATTATTATATTTCTCAATTTGATTTCTTTAAGCCCAACTGCAATGTAGGACTTCTTCATAAAACTTTTTAAAATAAAGATATGAGGAAAAAACACTTTATAACAAACTTAAAAGATACAAATCACCACTTCTATAACTAACAATTTTTATTTGCTTTCCTCTCTCTATGACCTCTCAGGCCAGTCAACTCAGCTGTAATGGAAACAGCTTTTATGGTCATGAATAACCAGTTTCACATAGATCTCTCTATGAATGACAAGTGTTTTCATTTCTTCCAAAGCTCATTTTGTAAATGTCCTTCATATACTACTTTCCTGCTAACTTGGTTTCTCTTTTTAAATGGTTAAAATGTCCTATTATATTAGTAGAGAACAACACTCCAGTCAAAAAAAATTCACGTTTAGCAAATTATTTTTCCTTAGCTTATACTGGTTACAGAAATGACACTGAAAGAATCATATATCCTGCAACATGTTAGTTTCTAAGTCAATGGAACACTTCCTCTTGCAAAGTTTCACAATATGAAATACCAGACTCTGGACTTGATTACAATAATATCAAGTAAATAAAAGCCACAATTGAATGATGTTATCTGACCTTATTCCCAACTAATCTAGGTTATCTGCAGGAAAGAGCATTTAAAAATTTTTTTTGTAGTTGTAGATGAACAGAATGCCTTTATTTTATTTGTATATGAAGCTAAGGATCGAACCCAGTGCCTCATGCATGCTAGGCAAGCGCTCTGCCACTGAGCTACAGCCCTAGCCCAGAAAGATCATTTTAACAGAGTACATTTAACTTAAATCCAAACACCAGTAAAACCACTATAAAAAGGGAAACATTTTAAATGTAATTGTTTACAAATTTTAAAGAATTACATTAAAAATTAAAACAAACTACTGATTTCACACAAACTTGTTAAGAAAAAATATTCAGGCCATTTACTAACAAGTCTAGGAGATCACTAAAGGTGAAATTGTGGTAAATTATATAAGCCACCATTTCCTAAAATATTGATTCAACTTATTTAACAATGATTTTTTTCTTTTTTTTTTTTTAGTTGAAGTTGGACACAACATCTTTATTTTAATGTGGTGCTAAGGATCCAATCCAGGGCCTCGAACGTGCTAGGTGAACTCTACCACTGAGCCACACCCCAGCCCTAACAATGGTCTTTTGCTCTAAATTATTGGATTAATATATTTTGATGTTTTAAAAGTTTGACCTTAGTCAACAAATATTTTCCATAAAGGGCCAGATAGTAAATATCTTGCTTTTCCAGTCCACATACTATTACTGTCACATATGCAGTGTTCTTTTTCTTACAATCTTTAAAACCCTAAAAATATAAAAAACATTCTACAACTCTTATAAATAAAACAAGCCACAACCAGATTTGTCCTTGGTTAAACTGTTTTCCCAGCCTGCCTTTACACTCTGTTATCTTTTTGTTACTATGTCAATTACATCAATCTTATTTTCTTCTTTCAAATATTTGTTCAAATGTGACCTTTTCAATGAAGGCTTCTCAGAGCATGTTCTTAACCTGTTCCCCTACATGTAACATCCTATAAACAGTGTTAGCTAATACACTTTCACTTATTTTCTTTGTTCTCCCCTATCCACCATCTAAGTTCCATAAAAGCAAATATTTTATCTATTTTTTCCCACCTAAACAGTTCCAGGCACATTAGCAGATTCTCAGTAAATCTATCCTCACATTTAAAACAAATACTATGGAGGAAATGTTTAATCTATGTGAAATAAAATTTAACAAGTGAGATGTTCAAGAACAATTAAAGTTCAAGTAATCATAAAACATTTTAAATAAAAGGGAAAAAGAAGGTATTTTCTTACTCCTACAAAGTGAGGTTAATTCTCATAGTCTAATTCTCTTGAAGCTGACCATTACTTTAGCCAACTTAATAACAAATTTCAATTATAATTCCTAAAACCCTCTACAGACCAATTCTGCCTTCTTTGATCTCATCTAGTCCAACTAGTCTGGCAACTTAAGAAGTATGCAGAGCAGGGAGAAATTTCTTTGATTTTTCTACAGCTCCATTTCCCAATATTCCATTTTTATAAATTTCTGAATACTATAATTTTTCCTACTTAGTCTCTGCCATTTGATTAAATAGGCAAAATGCTAGACTCTACTGAATATTATATTCCAAATACATAATGCTTAGTGATTAGTCAGATTTGAAAGTTGTAATTGCTATTGTGGTTTTATAAATACGTTTTTTACCTGAAGTAAGACTTGCCTTATTATAGAGTACTTTTGTATAAAGTATATTTAAAACTTTGGAATTTAGTAAGCTCCATTACCATTCATATTATGGCTGTTTCCAAGCCTATTAAAGCACAGCAAACCATTAAAGAGGAAAATATTTTTCTATTTCTATCAATGACAAATTGATCCTAGATATCTCAAAAAAAAAAAAAAAATCACAGTACCGGATACATTAACAAATATTAATGTGGGGTTTAAATCAAACAAGGTATCACATTAACACCTATAAAATCAAACTACAAAAAGTTGCTGATAGAGGGGAATGCTTACTAAATGTGCATTAAAAACCCTTTTATCCAAACAAGTTATTCATCTACAATTTTACTAAGCAGTTATATTTCTGCCCTTATCAGACAAGCAACTTTGATCCCTTAGAGAAACTTTAAAATCCAAATCTTTTGTCAAAGGTTAAGACAATTCTGAAGGCCAAGTCTTTATAAACACAATTCTATACTTTTAAAAATGATTATAAATTGAAAAAACAGTAAAATAAAGACTGCTGTAGGATGTTGATTTAAAAAAAAAAATTTATTCTCAACTGTTCTTGTGCCCTAAGTTGTCATAAAATAAAATTAGGTTAGGTGAAACTAGAACAGGGCAAACCTCCTTAAACAACCAGCATTTACAAGGACCAAACTGATGCTCTTGTTGTTATTAAGTGACTCCCAAATTAAACCACTTTTTACCACATATCCCTGGAGAACAACAATGACCCAACACACCAACACATCCCACTTATCTAGTTCCGAGTAACATGACGTGAGAAACTGCACTGTGTAATTCCTTTATTTTCTGCATATTAGTGCTTTATCAACACTACAACCATGAAGAACACAATTCCAGTACTGTATTTTTTAGTTTGGGGAGATCACAGTCTACAGACTCATTTACTTATATTAGACAAGATTAACCTCATTCAAAACTTACTGCAATTTATAAATTCACATAAATACAGAAATTGATGCAATTAAACAAAAACTTGAGGATATTTTTTTTAAATCTTAAAATTCTTAGATTATAGCTTTTCTGCGGGCTATAATTACCTGCTCCATTAATAACCAATGGTTACGTTCAATTTAACTTTATAAACTATAAACTTTTTAAATCCTCAAAGAAAATGTTAAGATTACAGTTTTTCCAAGAGGTTTATTTAGGGTTTCCCAAATTTCAAATATTTGCTTCCCCCACCCCACCTTTTTCAGACATTTCAAATAAACTAAAAATAACCACATCTCACCTGCAACATTCAATAATAGCAATCACTTGATGTATAAAATTTTAACTATGCCCCCCCCCCAGTTATTTTAAGACACAAAAAAATGGCTGTCTACCAATCTGTCACAAGTTAGAAATACTACATTTAAGAATTAACATGAGGGTTTCAAGTTTCCTCCAGTTTAGGCATTTATACTTTTGTGCTTGTTTTGTTTCAGGATGTTACTATAGCATTGATATTTGTATAACCCATGTTAATATACCTTAAAATGTAATCATTTAAAATACTAAGATTTACATTTATGGTGTAGCTTTGGGAATTTTAAGAAGCAACCAAATGTTCTTAGATGTGTTTTTCAGTCTCATTTGTAGATACTTCTACTAAAGTGAAACTGAAAACCTTATACTTTAGTTGCATCTTGAATTCAAAAATCCCTCTGCACCAGCAGGAGCCTATAACATAGCACCTTTTCTCATCTGCTTTAAGTAGAATGTTTTGAGATTTACTTGATAGTTGATTTTTAAATAGCCTTATCCTTCTCATACATCTTTGGTAAAAGCTCCATTATATAATATGGCCAAAACATGAAGGACCAATACTGTCCAACTATACCGTGATATCCCGCTCAATTTTTGTTTTCAGACACCCTCATAAACAAAACCCACTCCACCTTTTCCTGTATACTGCCTTTGCAGTCTACATTTCTGAAATTCCCTAAGTTTAATTCCTTGAGGATCACTAAAAATTAATCCTTAAGGCTATGTAAGAACCAGATGCTGCTTCACAATTCTGAATCAAGCATTAACACTGGTTCAAAATATCACCATAGTGGTCTCAATCTAGTTACTGGTCCTAACCAGCTAATCTTTTTATGCTCTGGATATCACCAGAGAGCACACTGCTTATCCTTTAAGAAAAATAAGTTTACATTCATTGTCATCTGTAGGTTCTTTCTCTTATCCTGCTTCCCCTTTAATTGTCCTCAGGCCTATACATCATTCATTCATCCATCACATTTCCTTCCTTAAAGGAGATGATGTACTACTGAACCAACAGGGTATCTATTTGCATGAGTTAATCCTACAATCAAGCAAAATTAAATACCTTTTTTAATAAATTTTTTTCCAGTGTTCTAATTAATGGAGATGTGGATCACTCATCTACAAAAAATGACTTATATTTTCAGCTTAATCAGTTGCTGTAATATGAAAACAGGAAGATGTATTTTCCCAGCTAGGTAAAAGGTGCATGTAGTTTGAATTGTTAAATGATTTATTATTTAAAAAAGTTAACGTTTTTAGTAATTTTAAAACTACTGGTCTTAAAGACGTTTGAAAGGTAAAAGCATATATTCCAGTTTTGCCCAAAAGTCACTTAAAATATCTACAAATATCTCATCTGTGTGTGGCATACACCATTATTGCTCCACTTTCTGGAAAGAGTCTATTTTTTAAATAAAGAGGGAAAACAGCAAAATTGCTGACTTTGCAGTGAAAAAAAATTGCATCCTTGACAGGTTACACTTTCATACTTTTTGTAGCATTAGTTAGTTATATTAAGAAGAACTTGGGTTTTATTCCTACTCATGCATGATGTATGTTTCAGAACTTAATAGCTGACATTTCAAAGAACTTCTTACATTACCTGTTTAACATACTGATGTGCAACTGGAACATATTACAATGATATTACTCATTACTTGCCACTGTGGGCTGTTTACCATACTGGTCTCAGATATAAAAGGTCACATTTGAAATTACTAAGTTAAAGTTAGAACTAATGGGGGGGGCTTAAATATAAAAGACAAAACGGCAGTTTGATTAAGCAATAATTTTCAGTTTACTAGATGAAAACAGACTTGCAACATAGTCTGCATGAATGCAAAATAAGCCATCTACAGCAAGTGATGAGGAATTGGGCAAAAAGGAAAAAAGCATACATTGGGGAAAAAAAGATTCTCTCGAAATAAAAAAATCAAACCATTATTATGAAGGACTTTACCAAGAACTGCTATATTTCCCCCACCCCATTTGCTGTAAGTCAACAAGAGCATCTAGCACTGTGTTCATGTCAAATGTCGGATCAGAGCATCCTAACGCAAAGCAAAAAGAGGGAAAAAAAAAAGGAAAAAAGAAAATCCCCAAACCGCCCCCCCCAACCGTAGAACAGCAACTCCAGAGTTCAAATTCAAAAGAAAAAGTGGCAATTGAAGGAGGTGAAGATGGTGGCGATAATCCTATGAATGGGTTTTTGATTTCTCTCCTTCGAGGGATGGGTGAAGAATGCTCATTAGGATTTGTAGTTAGAGGTTAACCATGTGAGCCCCTCATAGAGTCCGTCCCCTGAGGTGGCACAGGAGGGCTGCACATACCAGTTCCTGTCCCGAATCCGGGTCAGGCCCAGTTTCTCCTGGATCTCGTGGGGTTTCATGGCATCAGGCAGGTCCTGCTTGTTGGCGAAGATGAGGATTATGGCGTCCCTCATCTCCCGGTCATTGATAATGCGGTGCAGCTCCTGGCGAGCCTCGTCGATGCGGTCGCGGTCGGCGCAGTCCACTACGAAGATCAGACCCTGGGTCCCGGTGTAGTAATGCCGCCAGAGCGGCCGGATCTTGTCCTGGCCGCCCACATCCCACACGTTGAACTTGACGTTTTTGTAAGTCACCGTCTCCACGTTGAAACCCACAGTGGGAATGGTGGTCACCGACTGGCCCAGCTTCAACTTGTACAGGATTGTTGTCTTGCCCGCCGCGTCCAGGCCCAACATGAGGATCCGCATTTCCTTGTTCCCGAAGATTTTGGATAGCACCTTCCCCATCGCGTCGGAGGAGCCGGGGCCGGGGGCATTCAGGTGTCCCGGGTCCCCTCTGCCAACAACGCCGCCGCCGCCGCGAAACTGAAACGAAGGCTCCCCGCCGCGAGGGCGCTCGAGCGGCCTGCGTGGAAGTAGCCTCCTAGGGGCAGGGCCCGGGCTTGCGGCTCACTCGGGCATCGCCGGCCGCACAACTTGAAACCTCCAGTCGCTGCCGCCGGGGCCCTGAGGCTGCGTTGGGAGAGCCGCCGCCCTGCTGAGGCGCGGCGCGGCGCGGCCCGGCCCGGAACTGCCCTTCCCCCAGCAGGCGCCGCGCGAGCGCCGCCGCGGTTCCCGCTCCTCCGCCTTCTTCTCACCCAACCGCGGGAGACTGCGGCCCCCTGGCCCGCCCGCTGGTCCGCGAGCACCGGGCTCACCACCGACCCAAGCCACCCGAGAGGGAGCGCGGTTCCGGCGCTCCGTCAGGTCATTGATCCTCGCAGGAACTCGGTGCAGAGCCTGCAGAGAGACAGAGAGGGAGAAAGGAGTTACCGCCGGAGTTTCAGAGGGGAACGGAGGCCAAGGCGAGTCGCCTTTCCAGCTTGGCCCGGGAGGTTACCTCCAGCCGCCGCCCCAAACGCGAGCTCCCTCCGGCCTCCACCTCCTCCTCCCAGCTCTGCCGCCGCCGCTGCCGGAAAAGGCGCCGAGAAAACCGCCTCACTTCCCCTCCCGACCACGCAGGCGCAGCAGAGGCCGACCGTTCGGACAAGAGCGACCTCTGTAAGGGGAGCAGCCTGCGCGCCTGGCGTCAGGGGCGCCACGCGCCGGAGGGGGCGGAGCTACGGTGGCTCGAAGGGCTCGCAGGTGCGGCCCTCGTGGAACAGCGCGTGTGGGACTCAACGGCCCGGCCCGAGCCCACCTGTCGCTCATCTACAGTCTCCTTTCCTGGACTGATTTTTCTCCGGGCTCCCCGACTCGACCCGGACCACAGTTGTAAATCCATTAGGTTGGGGGTCTACAGTGTGAGCGCGCAGCCGAGCTACTTCCAGACCTGATCCCAGACCTCTGTGCCTACCAGAAGCTGCGCCTGTTCCCTCCTAGTCGCCCCAGACTTCGCGCGCAGTCTCCCCAGCGAAGCCCTGTTCGCTGTTTTTTTCCTTTTCTCCCAACCCCTTCTTGGTTTCCTTCCCTGAGTTCTGTGTGTATCCTGTAAGACACGTGGGAGACCAGTGTTCCGTGTGGAATCTGCGAAAGCCGCAGCGCTGTAACTGGGCTGGGGTTTGCCTTGAAGCTTCACTTCAGTGATCCTATGTAGTGTCTCGTTAGAACGAACTCACGTTTCTTAAAAATTATGGTATTTTCAAGAGTTCCCTTGACACAGTACCTTACTGTTTTCAACTTCGAAAAAACGCGAGTACTCTTCATAAATATCACCTTCCCTTGGTGTGGTCAGTAGTAGCTTCTCACACACCGGCTCATTCTTAAGCCTTAACAGTATTGTTACAAGATTTAGAATCAGAATGACTACTTCTACAGCCTGGATCGCCTGTGTAAACTGACTTTGGTTACTCCACTTGAGGATTAACTAATAAAATATATGTGGAAGACTTTAGGAAAACTTTTTGTATCAAGTGGTAGTGATAAAGTTAAAATAAGGTGAAAGTTAAATATCAAGAGGAGAAAAAACAGGAAATAAGGTGGGTTTTTTTTTAAGGAAAATTTTTTTAACAGCATATGATAGTGTTCTTATTTCATAATTTAAGAAAATTCAATAATAGTAGATAATGGTAGATAGGTTAGCCTTGTAAACTTCACCTTGGAATAAACTTATTAAATTTATTACTAATATTCTAATTACGACCTAATTTCCTTTCCATCGGCCCTAAAATGCATGTCATAAAACTGAAAAAAAAATGGTTGGGATTTAGAAGATTAAAGTTTAGGTGTTACTCCTTTATTTTCTAGATGTGAATCCATATGTTTTCATCTTTGTACACTTCCTTTTCTTGACTGTAAAATCAAATGAAGAATATTATCACCATGAAAGTAGTCACCATTTATTTTAAGTCTTATGGCAAATACTGAACTAAATTGTTTGAAGTATTTTAATCTTTACAGCCACCATATGAAGTAGCTTCAAGTATTAACATTTACAACATGAGAAAACTGAGGGTTAGCCAGTAATCTGAAGGTCATGGAACTGGGATTAAATCTATGACCTATCCTCTTAACCTCAAAATTATGCTGCCTCCCATTTGCCTCACAGTTGTTTTGAGGCTCATTAACAGTATTTCCTAAAATGCTTTATAACTATAAAGTATCATTAGCAATTATTATTATATTTGGGGGAAGAGTTTTTGGATAAGTGACGATAATAGATAATAGGTTAATTTTCACATATGGCATATCTTAGTGGCTATCTAAAGTGGCTCTTCACATAATACATTAACATGCTATTTTAAATACTAATCATAACACAAAGCCAATTATAATGAACAGAAAATGGAGTGAAAATTTTAAAATTTGTGTGTAAAATCATACCAGTAAAAAAAAGTAAATTTTAATAAAATCAAAACATCTAAAAAAGATAACACTTACTTAATTACTAAATAACAAATAATAATAATAAATAATACCACGAATGAAGCATTTTTTCTTTACTCCTTCTTGAAACAATGATTTTTTTTTTTTTAAGTAAGTTTCATGGCTGGAAATATAGCTTAGTTGGTAGAGTGCTTGCCTCTCATGCACAGGCCCTGGGTTCAATCCTTGGCCCCACACACATGCAAAAAAAAGTAAGGGCTGTGGATATGGTTCAGTGGTAGAGCAATTGCCTAGCATGCAACTACCTAGCATGCCCTGGGTTTGATCCCTAGTACCACAGAAGAAAATGAAAATAAATTTCAAATTTAAAAATATTTCCATTCAATGAAATATCTTACTAATAAACTAGAATTGTGAAACAAAACTTACATTTCTCAGTTGGCACTCTATTTCACTGATTTTTTTTTAAACAGAGGAAAGTTCTAAAAACCAACTATAGAAAAATTAGTCTTTGCTTTTTAACAAAGCCTATAAATGAAGAAATTTCTCCAACTTGAAAACCAAGATTCCAGGCTGGGGTTATGGCTCAGTGGTAGAGCGCTTGCCTCACACATGTGAGGCACTGGGTTGAATCCTCAGCACCACATAAAAATAAATTAAGATATAAAAAAAAAAGAAAAAAGAAAACCAAGATTCCCAAGAAAATAACATTTCGTAATATCTACTTTGTTCAGTAACCACTTATAGTATGCTAATGATATATATAGCTAAAAATAATGTAAGACAAATATTTACTTTAAAAATCATAGATTTTGTTTTTAAAATAAAATGAATGTCTTCCTTAACAGCAGTACCTACACTGTTTTCCCCTGCTTCTGAATTCTTATTACTATTAGCAGCAATTCATTCGGTATGACCCTGTCATATATTTCTATTTATTGCACTCAGTGACAAGAACAAGCCTCACTACATGGCAAAGTGATCTGCCCACGTACTTGTTGATGACGATTTTATTCCATTTATTATTTTGAGCCCTGAGGCCAGACTTACCCAGAATTGAACTCTTATCTAATTCAAAAAAGGCATACCACCCCAGGAAATCTATTAGTAGTTGAAGTAAAGAATAAGTAAGAAACAATATAAAGCATACCTTTACAAAATGTCCTGAAACTACTACTTGAGACAGTTAGCCCTGTCTTGGAGTTTAACCTATGTGTTTATAAGGTAAGGGAAGTTTCATGTCCTTTATATTTTGAATCCTTAGTGCCTACCTTAATTCGTGGTATGTATTATAATAAAGTTTCAAAAAAAATTTTAATGAGAACACATTAAAGATTGAGAGATAAAATAAAACAATGAATTATAACATATTTGTAAGCATTCTTGATAGCTTTAATGAATGTGATTTTTTTTTTCTCTTTAATACTGGAGTTTCAGGGCCTTGCACATGCTAGGCAAGTCCTCTACATTCCCAGTCCTTTTTATTTTGAGTCAAGGCCTCACTAAGTTGCTCAGGCTGGCCTCGGAACTTGCAATCCTCTGCTTCAACCTCTCACATAGCTGGGATTAGAGGTATACACCATCATGCCCAATGGACATAGATATTTTAAAATTTTGAAAGGGATATCCTATGAGGACCAAAATGTTAGCTCACTAACATCCTGACCCTGTGTCACCTTAGGAGGCACTTTTTGTTCTCTTCAGCCATTAAAAAGGGGGTAGCCTCCGTAATCATAAATGTGGTTTCCCCAGGCTGAGGCTTATCCATTCTTTGCACTCCATATGTGTTGACCCTTGTGATTTTCCTAAATGTGGAAAACTCAACTGCATAATTTGCGATAGTAGGAGGGCTCCTCTCACTCTCAAAAAAAAAAAAAAAAGTTATCCTATTGAAAACCCTGATAACCTTGATAATTACTTTCCTTCTGCCTCATTTTTAGCAATTAAAATTGATGACAGAACTAAAAACAAAAGTTTGAATTAGAGTTGATATTTCACAAATTGTTTAATAGTTACAGCTTTAGACAGTAAACTTTGAAGGACATGGTCAAGTGAATAGAAAAAGCTAAGTTTTATCTTTCAATTAACCTCCAACACTTTTTGGCTTACCAGAGTATAACTTGGGTAAGCTATTCATGCTCATCATCAGTTTCTCTATTCCTACAAGGGTAAAATCTCTCTTCATTGAATTAAGGCAGTACATATTATTATATCCCTTTATACTTGAAAGAGTTGAGGCACTGAAAGGGAATCAACTTTCTTTTAAGATCAATAAATAGTACTGAGCAGATTCAAGTTTTTGATCCAAGTCTAGTGTTCTTTTCTCTACCATAATGAATTATTGTGTTTATGGGTGAACACAGAAAGCTATATTGAATCAATAATTTTCATCCCTGGCTGCACATCAGAATTACCTGGGGAGATTTTAAGCCACAAAAAAAATGTTTGGGCCACATCCTAAATCAATTAAGTCCAAAAATCTGGGGTGGAGGGCCTATCCACCAGTTTTGTTTAAATTATCTGAGTCATCCTCATGTGTAGCTAAGATTGAGAACCACTGAACTAATTGCCAAATTCCTTTCATGTTCAAAATTGTATGTATTCTGAATGCTTATTTATTCC